GGGCGGAGGTGGAGGCGAGGTGGGCGCCGGGCGGAGAAGAGGTGGGCGGAGGCAGAGAGGAGATGGTGGGCGGAGGCCGAGAGGAGATGGTGGGCGGTGGTGGAGGGGAGATGGCTGGAGGAGGCGGAAGGGAGGTGGGCGGAGGCGGAAGGTGGGAGCCGGTGGCGGAGTCGAGGTGGGCAGGCGGGAGGGCCCGTGGGACTTCAGTGCAGGGAAAGCACCGCCCTGCAACAGGCCACAGCGCTGCCCTTCAACGGGCCCTGTTTCCAACAGGCGTGCCAATCCGGGCCGCCACCGCCCTGCAACAGGCCACAGCGCCACCCTTCAACGGGCCCTGATTCCAACGGGCGTACCAATCCAGGCCACCCGTGGTCCTACAGCCCGACGGTCTGGATTTTCCCGCGCCATCTTAAGACTTTAAGATCGCGCGATGATCCAGGCCGTTCGGCAAAGCGGACGGTCTGGATCGCCGCTCGATCTTAGTCTTAAGATCGCGCCGAAATCCGGGCCCTTCGGCCGGTAGGCCGCAGGCGGCCCGGATCGCCCAAATGTTGCGCGCCAAATAGGGATTTCTATAAGTGTAGGGATTCAATGCAAGGAATGAGAAAGAAATTGGCGGCCGTCGTTTTTAAACACTAGTACCTTTTCCGCTTCAGAAATGAGGGAAAACGCCGGTTCCTGAAGAATTCGGAGGCCGGGCCCGACGACGGCTGCCATTGACCAATCTAATCGGCGGCGGTCGTTTCGTTTCGGCCTCCTCCTGAAAGGTCAGAGGCCCACTCACTATTTTCCGAAACGACAAAAGCACTAGTGGTTTTAAAAAAGAAAAAAGGAAAAAAAAACAGCAAGGAGAGTCTTTTAGTACAGGTTATGGTCCAAGCGGACAAGATGAAAATTCACTCCATCTAGCTTAACTTCAATGAAGTAAATTAATTTAAAATTTAAATACTTAAAATGCCAAATTCCGATTGAATTTTTTTTTTAAGCCTGAATTCAGGCACACTGCACTGCAGCAGCACTAGCCTGACTTATCAAACCTTTTTTTTTTTTTTTTTTAATCACCTCCACATTATTGAGATTGCAATGCTCGAAAAGCCTTGAAATTAATTTTAATTTTTGTGTCCAAGCTTTAAACGCCAAGATTCTGGTTGCACTATAAATATTAAATTTATAATCCCAAGAATTCAAATTAATTGACAAAATTCGAAATTGAAAATTTCGCAAAACTCCGGTTGAATTCATGACAATTTGGCACACACATTGCATCACATTTCAGCATCACGCACATGTGACATCAACCATTTTTTTTCCTTTTTTTTTTTTTTTTTTAAACAGGAAACTGTGAAAAGCCTGCCGTTGTGGCGGGCTTAAAAGACAGGAAACTGTGAAAATATTATACCTGACTTATCAGCTTGATCACCTCCAGATTGTTTAGATTGGCCAGGTACCATGACGACTGAGCAAACAGGAAGTCGCCCACTAAAACCGCAACTCGAGTGCCATACAGGTTATGGACCGTCTTTGCACCTGCTGTCCACAATTCGCCCAAGTCAACCCAAGCCAACCCAAGCCAACCCAAGCCAAGTCAGTCGGAATCATATCCACATAGCTACGTAGCACCGTGTTCGTGTTCGGAGGCGAATACAAACATGTTCGCCCGAACGCGAACAAGCGCCCAAAACCCTCCGAACGTGGACATGACCTGCCCAAACAGGGACTGACAACACAGCTGATTTCTGAGTTTTGCTGCTAGAATGAATGCCTTGCTGAGATTTCCGCTTTCTGCCGAGTTTTCTAAGTCTGTGCGTGTGCGTGCTTGCTGGTGTGCGTGCTTGTCTGAGTGCTTGTCGGCTTGAGTGTGTGTGCGTGACCCGCAAGGGCACTTGTTGCTTTGTGAGGCCCGCAGGGCCGGTACTTACCTGTGGCCGTGACTTTGAGGGTTACAGCGGGGAAAACACTCAAGTAGCGGCAGTAGGCCCACGGCACTTAAAGCACCGGGGAAAGGTAGGCCGGTCGGGGACTGGAAGCCGAGCAGAAAAAGGAAGACAAAAGTTGGCATTTTTAGAGGCCCAGTTCGGTCCCCGATTGACGAAACAGTGCGTCACAGCCCCTCGTTCGCTGTCCTCTTCTCCCTCTCTGCCTCTGGTTTGTTGGGCAGTTCTGTTTGACTATATATACTGTTTGACAATATATATTACTGATGGTAATTTGGCAATCAAGGAGCCCTCCTGCCCTCTGCCTCCCCCTCCCCCTCTTGCTCCCCCCCCCACCCCCCCCAACCCTTGCCTGCCCCTCACATTCTGCATTTCTGAGCCTTCCATGCCCATCACATTCTGAAACGTCTTCATGTTCCCATCATGATCGCCCCCCATTCCAACCCCATATTTCCAGCAGAAACCCCCCGCCCTCGCATCCCCCTTTCCACCCCTTTTTCAACAGAATATGCCCCCCCCCCTCAATTCCAACCCTATATTTCCATCCGAAACCCCCCGCTTCAGCCATTTTTTTGCAGTCACCATGGATGACGGATGCCACCTCAGCTGCAGGCACACAGAACGCCGCTGCACGCTGCAAAAAATTGTCAGACTGTGCATCTTTTACGGGGATTGATGACGCTCACCTCTTCTGACATCACTGTCGTCGAGCACGTCGTCATGCACAAGACTAGCTGTGTGGATCATCTCGGTGATCTCCGCCAAGCGGCGATGTTGAGGTAACAAGTTGCTGCACAGCAGAAAACGCCGCAAATCACCACCACAAGCACAATTTTTTCTTTAATTTTTTTTTTTTTTTGTCTCAGTAACTGACCGTCACTTCACTCAGTTCACTGTCAAATTTTGACACCTTAGCAAACCTCCAATCTCAAAGACACCCCCCCCCCCAAAAAAAAACAGAAAGGGTAGCAGCATTGTTGCAGTGCTCACAATTTTATTTTATTTTCTTCTGGGAACAAGGCTCCAATCTATTCGTGGGGAGCAGCACGTGCTGGGAACCGGGCCCAGCGTCCCATATGGAGATTTACATCGAATTTTGAATGTTATCCTGCTTTCAAAAATACTGTCCTGCTGCATTGTGACTTTGTCCAGTGTCCTGAAGTGGAGTTACAACGGAAATCGTGACTGCCCCCTAGTTACCTCAGTCAAATATTTCTGAAGTATCTCTTTGGCTGGGTGGTCACTTTGAAGATGATATCTCAAGGCCGTCTGAGCCTGTCTCCTTTTTTTTTTTTTTTTTTTTTCCCAGTACTAACTAACATGGTGGTTGTGCTGGTGTTCTCTGTCGTCCCCCCCCCCCCTTTTCTCCCGAATGCGACTAGACCAGATACATCGAATAAATTATAACCGAAAAACCACCTATCCCTACTTGGTAGGAAGCGTATACAAGAAACCGTGTTCCAGAAAGAGTGACAAGAAAACGTTTTCCAGAAAGAGTGACAAGAAAACGTTTTTCCAGAAAGACTGACAAGAAAAGGTTTTCGGGAAAGAGTGACCAGAAAAGGTTTTCCACAAAAAGTGACCGCCTACAATGCATCGAGTCATACTCACTCCAATCCTCCGAGCTCGGCTGTCGCTCTGGAAACGAGAAAGACAAGCACTGGTCTCAAACGCTTCCCTCCGGCACTGAAAATCTGATCTGCGGCGCTCAAAAGCATCGGGTGCCTTTCCCCAACAATCTGCAAAACAAAAAAAAGGTTATCCAAACGCGACACATCGGAGACCTTGAGTGGAGCTGGGCAACCAGGAAGCAGCATATGTGTGTGTGTGTGTGTGTCTCCTGACTCCGGCAGAAAAATGGACGACCTAGCAGCCCTCAGACGTTGAGACTCGAGAGTAATGCAAGAATTGCAAAAATGGATGGATAACATAAAGCAGAGCAATGCCTTAAATTGATCATGTAGCACACAGTAAAGGACAAACGCGTAGGCTGCGGGGGGGGGGGAACCAAGGGGGGTGGACTGCAGAGGCAAGGGGCAGACGACGGCAACCGCCTGAAGAAGGAGCACTCAGTCGGCATAAGAGTCGAAGTACGGAGGCGGACAGTGAGACAAAGAACAGGAACGAGCAATCATGCACAGACCGACACAACCACTCGCGTACCACAATCGTTTCTTATTCATCCATATGTAAGCCCCTTGCTCCCCTCCTCCTCCCTTCTTCCACCATCACAGTACATTCCGCATCCAATACTGCCGAAGCGCGCTCTCCTCTATCCAAATACCGGCAACGTAGCTTCCCTGTGCGCGTTTCATCCGCCCACACAACGGAATCCTCAGGGCTCAGATGAGGACACTACCTTCTTCCCCTGAATACAACAACGTACAGTCATTATAGCTGTTTTGGGGGTCTCTTTCAGTCCAAATACAGCTATAATGACCGTACATTTTATTCGGGGGAAGAAGGTAGGGCAGACGTGCCCCAGGATCACCGCCTCTACTTCAACAACTGGACTGCAATTGACCCCAGCACCCCTCTAAGGCCAGCCGAGGACTTGCTGGATTTATCCCCACCCCGCCCGCTATCCGTGGAAGTGCGGCTGTAGATGCCCCATAGGGATCACACATGCAGCGCAGGGATTTCGGACCCAGGAAGGGGAGGGGAAGGATAGAGTGATGCACCGGTGCATCCTGGTGCCTCATGAACACCCCCCCCCCCCCATCCAGCCAATACAGAAACAACACTGATAAAAAGGCCATTGTGGGCAAAAAAGGATTTCTAGCCAAAGCCGAGTAATGGCCCCAGTACTCGGACAAATACTCAGAATCTGTTCTATGAATCTATGGGATGCTAGACCCGGTTTTCAGCAGGTGCGGCTCCCCACCCATAGATCGCACCAGTCAGCAGGCGGGGTATTGGGGGAGGAGGGTGCTCGTATCACCTCCCCTAATAGCCTGAAGCTGGTTTTCATTCAAAAAAAGTGAAAAAAACGCAGAAATATGTAACATAATGCAGAGTAATGCACAAATGGATAACATCAGGTAGAGTGTTGCACAGATCGATGCGCTACCAACTGGCCTATCTCGTCAGTTGGTACACCGACGAACTGTTGAAATACAGACAGAACTGAGTTCGAGCTCCGAGGGAATCAGACGAGTCAGTCAGATGAGTGGCGTCAGATGAGTGTGGTGTTGCATGAGTGACGTCAGATGAGTGGCATCAATGAGTGACGTCAGATGAGTGAGAATAACTCTGGATTTACCGAATGGATCTGAAGGCCGTCTGGGCTGCTGAGTTCAAACTCCAAACTTCAAAAAGACGATATCTGAAGGCCGTCAACCTTTTGCGGGGAAAAAAAGGATAACATAGTGCAGAGTAAAGCATAAATGGAAAAAAAAGAAAAAAGAAAAAAAGAAAGCAAAAATGGATGGAGTAATCCACGAATGGATAATAATGTAGTAATGACGAAATGGATAACCCCTAGCTCAGGCGGTACACCGGTGAGCTGTTGAAACATACAGACACCTCAGTTCAAATCTGGACAGAACAAAATGAATCAAATTCCTATGCTGGGGCCTGGACCCATTAGTGAAGTATTCCACCACCCCGTTCAGGATTTAGATCACGTGTGGCCTCGAGTGACGCAGTACGGCCGTCAAATACATCGGATCTCGACGGCCTGGTAGTTTCCGAGCGGGGACTGTAAAGATGCCCACCTCCCCCGTCCAATGAGAATCATTATGAGATGCGTCGAAAAACAAAAAACAACAAAGTTGGACATGATAGCTCGTGGCATTGCGTGGGCGGGAAGTCTGGATTTTATGGGCTCGAAAGGGGGGGGGGTTGATTTCCAGACTTCGTTTTTTTTGTTTTGTTTTTTGGCTATGAGAAATCCAACTTGAAATGTTAAATTCAGATATTGTGGTGGATCTGACAGGAACGCCTCAACGTCTGTCGGATGGCCTATTAGAGGCATCATGAGATACATGGTGATGAATGTATCCCCATACCCGTTACTTGTTCATCCTCGTAGCTGTGTTTGTGAACACATTTTATGGCCACGGTACATCACTATGACAACTTACTTGAAGGAGATCATACCAACCCATGAATTCCGGTGCACAGCTGTTCTTCTTTGTTTTATGTGCCTTTTCAATTCATTTTAAATCAGAAAACGATCCATTAATGCAAAAAAAACTCACTTCGTCTTTTCCAAAAAACCATAAAATTGCGTAACACATCGTAGAATACTTCGCTAGTGGGTCCAGGCAGGGTTGTCGAGCCCCGGCCCTGGGGCCCCGGCGGGGGTCCCGGGGGCCGGGCGTCGGCACCCCTGACCCCGGCAAAAAAAAAAAAAATCCAAAAAAAAAAACAGAATACAGGGGGGTGCGCAGCCGCAGCCTGCACCCCCTGAGCCAAACTGCAATATTGCAGTTTTGGCCCGACCTCGGGCCCCCCCCGGGGCTACACCCCACCCTCGTGAGCCCGGGGTAGTGCGGGCGCGGGGCCGGGGGCGGGGCCCAGCGGGGTGCGGGGCCGGGGTTGGCTGGCGGCGGGG